CTAGGATCATGACCTGAGCCGAAGGCAGAGGCTTTAACGCACTGAGCCACCCAGGTGCTCCAAGATCTTTTTTTTTTTAAGATTTTATTTATTTATTTGACAGAGACAAAGCAAGAAAGGGAACACAAGCAGGGGGAATGGGAGAGGGAGAAGTAGGCTTCCCACTGAGCAGGGAGTCCAATGCAGGGCTCCATCCAGGACCCTGGGTTCATAACCTGAGCTGAAGGCAGACAGGGAATGACTGAGCCACCCAGGCGCCCCAGTGTGCAAAAGTTCTGAACAAATACCTCACCAAGAAGATATACAGATGGCAAATAAGCACATGACAAAATGCTCAACATCATCTCATTAGAGAAATGCAAATTAAAACCACAATGAGATACTACTACATACCACATAGAAAAGTTGTAAGCCCCAGGATGGGCTCCATGTTCAGCTGGGGGTCCACTTGTCCCTCTCCCGCTGCCCCTCTCCCACACCCACCAGATCCTGCTCTCCCTCTTCCCCTCCCCAGCTCATGCTCGTTCTATCTCTCTCTCAAATAAATAAATAAATAAAATCTTTGAAAATCATGTTACTCCAAGTAACTTCCTTTATCAATTTAGGTCTTAGAAATACTCTAATTTTAAATTTCTACTCTGTAATTATGTTTTAATAACATAAAAAGAACCCATGGATATAATTATGTATTATAATCCTATTTTCCCCTTTTTTAAAAAGATTTTATTAATTTATTTATTTGACAGAGATAGAAAGAAGAGGGAGAATACAGCAGGGGCAGAGGGAGAGGGAGAAGCATGTTTCCCACTGAGCAGGGAGCCGGATGTGAGGCTCAATCCCAAGACCCTGGGATCATGACCTGAGCCAAAGGCAGATGCTTACCAACCTAGCCACCCAGGTGCCCCTATAATCCTAGTTTAAAATAAAGAAGACTGGGGCACCTGGATGGCTCAGTTGGTTAGGCAACAGGCTCTTCACTGCAGCTCAGATCAAGATCTCAGTATGATGAGATCAAGCCCCAAGATGGGCTCCTTGCTAGGCTGTAGAGCCTACTTATGATTCTCTCTTTGAAGGGTTGGCTGGGTGGCTCAGTGGATTAAGCATCTGCCTTCTGCTCAAGTCATGATCCCAGGGTCCCTGATCAGCAGGGAGTCTGCTTCTGCTTCTCCCTTTGCCCCTCCCTATCCACCCCAACACCAGCTAGCTCCTGCTCTCTATCAAATAAATAGAACCTTCAAAAAAAAAAAAAAATAGATTCTATCACCCCCTCTTTCTCTGGCCCCCCAACACACTCTTTCTCTCCTGCTAAAAAAATTAATCAATTAAAATAAAATAAATAAGACTGTTACAAAAGGGAGTGGGGAGAGGATGGGTTAGATAGGTGATGGGATGAGTACCCAGGTGTTATATGGAAGTGTTAAATCACTGTATTATACACCTGAAATTAATATTGCACTGTATGTTAATGAACTAGAATTTAAATAAAAACTTTAAAAAATTTATGGGTAAAAACATTAAAATTTTAAATAAAAAAATACAGACTAGAGGTCAGGGAGCATTCAGTGTAACTTTATAGTTACTGACAATTTTCCTAGTCTTAATAGAAAGGATTGAAATGTGTGTTTTTTTACCAGAAGAGAAGGAAACATATTTACATATTTGACCCTGCCCCTTTCTGTGTATAATAGCAATGAAGTTCCTCATTATTATATCCCCATTTTCGGGCTGTCAGAAGAAATAGAATACTTCCATTATAAATGCGAGAATTTCGGTATCCACATTTGACTAATCTAAAAGGTTAAAAAAAATCTATATACACATTAAACATATAATAAGATGTAAAGATGATTTTAGAAAAATATTCAATAAAAATTTTAATATATTTACATTTAGAAATTATTCACAATATGAGATATTTTCCAATCTCGGATCATTAATGTAGTTTATTTTGCTTACAAACTAGAAGTCATAGTTTCCTATGTCACATTAGCAAGAAAATGTCCAAGTCTGAACACAAAATATAAATTTATATAAATATAAATCTCAATTACTCTACAGAAATAATTCTAAAGAACTAGTTTCTAAAAGAGAATGTCATTCATTTAAATAAAGTTTGTAGTAAAATGTTTTCTAGTCTAATGTTATACTAGCCTAATTCAAGTAAATAGAATCCAAGTTAGCATATATTATATCCTTAATTCTTATATTTCATATTGGCACTGTCCTTTCTGATTCTCAGTCCCAAACCCTTCAGCCTAGTTTTAGCCAAAGATAAGTATTCATTTTTACCTATGTGAGAAATGGCTTATAATTCTGAGTGTTTTGTTCTTTAAATAGAAACTGAAGATGGAAATCAGTGCTAAGAAAACTAAAGTACCACTTCTGATACCATATTTGCTTCTGCATTCCCCCACCCACCCACCATCAATCTTCCATTCTAAAGAACCATTTGAAGGATTCTCTTATTCCCTAGTGAAATCCCCACGGTAGGAAAAAAACTAAGTTACCATGGAACCAGCCAATTAATTTTGACACCTGCTTACCAAGATTGATCATTTTTTATATCTGTTTGCTAGGTTGCTATCCTTCAGCTTAGTAAAAGATTTTCAAGATAATTAATGAAGTGAGAATTTCCAGTTAGTCTTTCCCACTATGTTATTCCTTCAACTGCTGAATAAAAGAAGCCACCATCCTCAAATAAACCTTTTTTAGCTTAGCATATACTTTACCATGAAGAATTCTTTTCTTCTAAATTGATTCTTCCCTTTAACATTAAATACCACATTTTACCCCTAAGAGTATACATAAAACACGGAATAGTACCAGTTATATTTACTATAATTAATAGCCTGTATTCCACAGAGAAATGAAAAGGTACTTACCAATAGAGTACAATGAATCACAGGAAATAAGTTTCCAAGGAAATGATTTATACTCAATGATTAATTCAGGGTTAACTGTTATTTAGCTATATTTAAGAAGCTATTTCTATTTTACTCACTAATGTGTAAAGTTTATGAACAGCATCTTCTGTTATTAAGATAGTTTAACTTGATCTGTGATCTTTCCTACTAACTGAGACAGTATCTGCTAGCAAGGTTGCAGGCTGCTGATCTAGCTAGCTGATTAAGAAGTTCCACTACCATAAAATGTAGAAAGGAGCTTCTCAAAATCAGAGCAGTCTCTGTCCTCTTTAGATAAATAGACCAAATACACCCACAAAAAGGCCAAAATCCCTAAATCACATATACAATGGGTTATCTTCCTACTTACAGAAAGACGTAAAAAATTGATGCAGCTTTATTCATTGTTGGCTGCCAGTTTATATGTTCAAAATTCTTGCTTGATAAAAAGGCCGGCTGTAATTGTCATAGCCAAAGTTTCAAAACACTTAAGTAAGAAAGGCTACCAACAAGCACAATTCAGTAAGATATCTTTCCTTATCTTGAAACACTTAAAACTTTTAATTAGCACCTCTTTCAAATTAAAAAAGAGTATCAAAAAACTACAGTATTATACTAATTTATTAGGAAGCAAGAAGACATTTCAGTCTACTGAAACAAATGAATTTCACGAAGCTTCATTTTAAGATTTCACTTCCAGAAACCGCTGTAAATTAAATAGTAGGATCTACCTAAAATTTAAAAGTGCCCTTTTAAAAAATACAGTTCCACAAGTTTTAAGGGGCATGGTTTAAATTAGCAATAGTTAAAATAAATAAATAAATAAATAAATAAATAAATGGAAAATATGCTGTATTTAAAACTCCCAGGACATTTTCCTATAATCCATTAATAACGTGAACAATACTTCCTACCTTTGCCTTAGAGCCCAAGACACTTCACTTAGATTTTGCTATCATCCTGACAATAAATATCCGGAATCTACATAGTGTAATTCCAGAGCCGCAAAACAGCCAGCCAATTTCACAGTAACTATCTAGAAGTCTGAGAAGTTGACTCAGCGACTGCTATCTGCAAATTGTCAGATGGCTACCTCAACTATCTGACTTGCTGCTCCCCCCAATTCACCCATTTCTTCTCATATCAGGCAGGAAAGCCAATAAGGGGAGGGTACCTTTGCTGTTGTAAAGCAAACTCCTTACGGCCTTGAGCTTCAGAGAAAAACCAAAGTGATGCTCTCACACAACAGCTCATAGTTAAATAAACAGTTCGAAAAACCCATTACTTCCCTGCATTAAAAAAGCCCACATAGTTCATCATTTTATGTTACCCAAAGTCACTCTTGTATTCCCGATCAAAACTGCCGTAGCAAATTCGACACAGTATACTGGCTAAAAGTAAACATTCTGGAGTTAGGCTAGTTGACTTGGAATAACTCTGCCCTTAGTACTGTGTAATCTTGGGCAAATGACTTAAATTCACTGCCTCGAGTTCTCTCTGTAAATCCAGCATAATCATCCTAGGAACTCACAGAGTTGTGAGGGACAAATGAGATAATCCACGTCAGGCGCTTAACAGTGTTTGGCACAGAGTAAGCCCATCATAAACTCTTAGGATCACAATTATCATACTAAATAAACTAAAATGTTCGCAGTGGTTACCTCTAGAGAGGAGTAGGATGGGAGTAGAGGGAGGTACTGGTAGCCCGTAACTTTAACCTTTACACTTCTGCATTGTTTGAATGTTTCGCAATGTTCAAGTATTTCATGGGTTACTTGCATGATTTTTTATTAAAAAACAGTGACCTAACAAAAATGGTGTTTGGCACCGTAACTGAGTATGGAAATAAATGCTCAAGAGCGAGGGACCAGAAGCCGCTGCGGACACCTGGACCATCACGAGGGCTTAGAGCGCCCGGCGGGCAGGGCTCCCCGCGGCCGAGTGCCCCGGGCGCCTGGGTTGCACGGGGGGCGGCGCGCTGCGGGCCGTTCCCAGCCCCGGGACCCGAGGCCGCGTTGAGGGCGGGGGCGCAGAGGATGGGAGGGGACACGACCGGTGCGGGGCAGGGTTGAGGTGCGGGGTCGCGAAGACACTTACTTGAACCTGCCCTGGCAGTGCTGGCACTGGTCCCCCACCCAGCCCGGGTCGCAGAGGCAAGTGGAGTTGACACAGCGGCCCGAGAAGCAGGAGCCGGTCCTCTCGCACGGCTTGGACTGGGACACCTGCGCGTAGAGGGCCAGGTAGAGGAAGCCATAGCACAGCAGCCAGCTGTTCCCGTCCAGCAGCCAGGAGGAGGCGCCACCGCCGCCGCCGCCGCCCGCCGGCCGAGCCCTCCACAGCCCCGGGGCCGCCAGCTGCGGGGGGCCAATGCGGGCCCGGCCCCCCGGCTCCATCTTCTCGGGCGCCCCTGCCCCGCCGGGCTGCGCTCGCGGGCGCGGACAGCGACGCTCCAGGGTTTGGGGGGGGCGGAAATTCGGCCGGAGAAAACCTCGCCGCCGCCGCCGCCGCTTCTCCTCCTCCTCCTCTCCTCACCGGCGCCTGCCCCAGTCCAGCTCCCCGGTCTGGAGGGACAGATCCCAGTCGCCGTCGCCTCTGTTCGGCCCCCTGCAGTCGCACTCGGGCATCGCCTCTCGGTCTCTCGACCTTGTCCTCAGCGAATGGAGCCCACCGCCGCGGCGACCCGGGCCGGGCGGGAGGCGAAGAGCGGGCGGCGCGGGCGGCGCGGAGCGCTCCAGAGGGGACCTGCGGGAGGGGGAGGGGACCCCGCGCGCGGCCCCGCCTCGCCCGCGGCTCGCGCCAACTGCCTCGGCTCGGGCCCCGCGCGCCAGGGAGGGCGGGGGCCCGCGGGAGCCCCGAGGTGGGCGCGCCCAACCCAGGAGGGGAATTCGGGAAGCGGGGCTCAATTCCGCACCGCCAGGCCGGCGGCCAACAGCCCCCCAGCAGCCATCTTCTCTCCTGTGCCGTCAGCCGGGCACCAGGGCTGCGGCTGGAGCCCGCGGTGCGTTGGGCCGCCTGCCCCCACTCGCGCGTGCCCACGCTCCCCCCCACAGACCCAGCGCTGTGGTCTCGCCCCGCCCTGACAGGGACCGGGGACTCCCCCGCGCGCGCCCACCCCGCCCGGCCCGAGAGCTGAAGCGAGACTGGCCCCCCAGGTGTGGCCCGCGCGCCCGCGGTGCCCTTCCCCTGGGCGCGCGGGGGGGACCCGGCCCCACTCGCGCCACGCGCCCCCTGATCCCCACCAGCGAAAGAGCAGACCCGGCCGGCTTCGCAGCTTCAGCAAAAAAGAAGCCCTTCCCATCGGCCGTCTACAGCTGCAAAAGTGCAGCGCTTTTCCCCCCCGCGTCTCCCCTTCCTCCGCCCCATCCTGCCTATTTCTAATTTTTTTCTTAGAAAAACTCCAACAACACACAAAGAGCTGAGCTTGTGCAGCAGGCAAAAGTCTTAAAGGCACCGCAGTCCGACACGCTGTGGGGTCCGCAAGAACTGGGAGGGGCGGGGTTTTAGGGGCAGCGAGGGTCGGGGAGCCGTGGCCGCGCGGGGACTTCTCCAAGGGGGAGCCATTTCTTCCGCCGAAATGATGACTCCACCGCCCCCAACAAAGAGCTACAAGATTCTGAGCCCGGGGCGCACCACCCCTTCCCCGTGCTGCCTCGGAACCCCAGGTATCTCCCTTTTCTGCTTGTCAGTGTTTCCTCCTCCATCTGGGACAATATTCTGCCTTGAAAAATATTGCAACATCTGGGCTTTTTTTCAGAAGAGCAGAAACGATGCCCAGAAAAGAGCCGTTTTCCTTTCTCAGCGGCAATCTTTCCTCCTTTAGATGACTTTCCAAGATTTGATGGCATGTGCTGAAATTTTTGCTTTGTACTTTCGTGCCTTCTCTAAAAAGCCTGTTTCAACCCTTGAGAAAGGAAGCCGAACACAAACTGCAGCCATGTATACTCGAGTTACAAGCAATGTAATGGGATCCCCACCAAAGAAGAGCAGACAGTATGAAAAAGAATTTGAAATCTACCGAAGACCTTTCTGACAGCAAAAAGAGAAAAAGTTTTAGTTGTAACCATACAGTCATTATTGTTAAGATTCAACTCATGTTTATTTCGGGCATAATGTACCCACGTCATCTCTTTTAATCTCTTTTATCCCCACTTTGCAGATGAAATCCTCCATTAACCCCATTTTGCAGATGAGGATATAGAGACTGGGAAATGTTGAAAGATTTGTCAAAGGCAGGTTAGGGGTAAGTAATGAATCGAGCTTTAAATACAAGTCCTGTGACTTCCGTCAGTGCCGTGTCTTTTTCCATTAGTTACCAAGCTATTTCTATTAGCAGTTGCTTTGTTCTACTTTGGTGAATAAAATGTGTTGGCTTGGTTTGCAAATACCTCAACAGTGACTTAAGGAGGGAAAATAAAGGTCCAGAAAGAGGTGGCTCCTTTGAAAGGAAAAGGGAGAAAAAAGGAAACCATGATTTTCATTAATATAACAAAGAAATCACAATTCCCCCATAATATCAGCACTAGAAATGTCATCCTCAAACCTGAAAATGAGGACAGCCCCTTCTTCCTTTCACATCTTTTCTACATCAGGATGCTCCTTAGAAACTACCTGGGATGAAGGAAGAAAAAGAGGAGAACATTCTAGGGGGGTGGAAAAAAAACAAAAGGAGGATATTGTTCTGGATTACACTGTTTAATTTCCATGACTATAAAATCCAGAACTCTTCCTAGTAGTAGCCATACATGAACAATCTCTCCTGCCTTCTCCATTCTTCTCTCATGCCAGCCAAAGTTTAAAGTGAACCACATCCTTCTCACATCCATGTAGAGTTGCTTTCAGAAATGTGGAAGGTAGCCAAGCTCTTAAAACAGTCCGTGAGTGTGAAGGTAACTCAAAGGATACGCGGGAGCCCGTTTAACAAGAGAGATCACTGCTCAGCCACATGCTCACTGTAGCCTATATTCAAGCAAAGGATTTGCCCATTAAAAATATATATCTTTTAATCTTGTAACCACTATAATCAGCTCAGTACTTCACGTTACTGAAGAACATGCAGCCCCACAGTCTTCCTCTCAACTTTGCCTTTAGAATCAAGCTGAATATACTAAATCTATATAAAATTACTCTCACTAGGATCTCATAGGATTACCACTTGCTCTATATCCGATTTTTTTTTCTTTCATACTCTTTTAAAAGTCAACATTTACTAAGTAAACTATTACGAATTTAAGGAAGAGGAAACAAAGATAAATAAACATGAGGCTCACCCCTGGATAAGTTTATCTATTATCTATTAGGTTCAGTAAATTGGGAATTCCTTATACAGTTAAGGGTCACATAGTTTACAGATGTAGACACAGAAACTTAAATGATTTACAACAGTCACACAAAAAGTCAGTGATAAAACTTGCCTAGAATCTGGACTAATGTTTCAGTGTCTTCTATGATCAAGAAATTTTAAAGCTCCAACATGGTTATCTCTTTTTTCTAAAAAAAAGTAGAGTCAGCATTCTAGTAGTGCTATCCGACACTATCATAACTCACAGTATTGGTAATAGCAGTCATAAATCCAGCAGAAAGGTGAAAATCTACTCCAAAGAGGTAGTAGAGGGAAAATCAGTTTTACTGAAGTAGGATGAAACTATTATGATTGGAATTATCTATTACAATTTCTCAAAGGGGAAGAGATAAGAAAAATATATTTGTTTTCTCCACAATTAGCCGTATATCAGGACCTTCAGATATTTGGGGAATGTGTTTCATTTCCATTCATACCACTTAAGAGTGGTACTATAAAATGATGGGCAAGAAGCTAAGACTTCACATTGCCAAATTGAAGGAAATCCACATGATTTTTTTAAGAAGAGCAAGAGAAATGACAGTTCCACTGATCTTTTGACTGCAACTCAAAAAGTAAAAGATCCTATTTGGGCTAATGAGCCAAAGCAGCCCCTTCTCAGTTGCTTGACTGAAGAATGATCTCTATTGTTCACCGTTTGGCTCATAAGAGGCTTCTGAAAGCAGCTAAGATAATGAGAGTTGCAGATAGCCTGGCCACAAGAGCCACAAGTTTGTTCATTCAAATGTATCCTTAGTGTAATTGGGACCGTATTTTTAAGACACTGATAGAGCATGAATGGTCTGTGATATTAGATAGTAAAGAAAAAATCAACTTTAGGTACTCATGAAAAATTATTGATGGTATTAAAAGTATACATGTGGCTATGTGCTAAAATACCAACCTTCTCCCCACCAAAATCTAACACTCTGCTTTTCTCTTGGATTCCATCAGTTTCTCTTGCCGTCACACTTGCAAACACACACATACACTCTGATCCTGCCAATTTTTCTACTTAACACATTTCAAACATATTGTTATAAGTAAATTCAAGGAAATAACTCCAAAGATTCTAAATTCTCAACGCAGGGCTATTACATTTATTTTAACTGGGAAATAAAATGAACATAATTCAACTTTCATCCTAAATATTCAGCCTTATTACCCCCAAAGACATTTATTGCTAGTAGTCAGTAGTCCGTTGCAGAAATTTGTCTTTCATGAAATTTAATTCAATAAAAATATGGGTTAGGACTTCCTGTTAAACATAGTAGACTAAGGATGAGCATTTACTGCTACTCCAAACTCTACCAACTTGACAGGAAAGTTTGTTTTTTGTGTCTTTTTTTTTTTTTTTTTTTTAATTTTAAAGGTACAAACTCACAATAACAAAGAAAGAAAAGAGCCAATTAGTTGATAAGAGGTGCCAATGCATTTGAAAGTGTCAGAGCTTTGGAAGGAGGAAAGGGAATGGAGAAGCAATAACTAATCATTTATGCCTACAGAGATGAATAACAGTAAGAAACAAGCCTGAAGAGTCCAAGACTCAGAGGTAAGAGGTACAATGAGAAGCAGAGGTGGGGTTCAAGGATGAAAACAAGGAGAATAGTTGAGGGAAATATAAAGGCCCATGGTCCCCTTCCTCACCCCAAGTAGCCAAAGATGACTCCAGACCCAACCCTGACAGGAGGTTAAATCTCTTAAGAAATTGAATGCTAGAGGCTCCAGACTTAGAGCATCAGTCATAATGGAAGGAGGGAGAGACGTACACAGCTGAAAATGGGGAAATTAGGTAAAAATCTATATATTGAATGTTGGATTTCCCAACCACTTTTTCCTACATGTTCCCTGAATGCCTACAGTCAACTAAACCACCTCCAGGCAGAAAATTGAATAATATTTATCTGCAGAAACTTAATAGTCCAAGAGAAAATATATTGTCAGTTGGCGGTCTCCAAACCAAATGGCAAACCAACCTACAGCTCACCCTATAGTGAAGGCTGCTGAGTCAGTAAATCTCACCCAATCTTTTTTTTTTCATGACTCTCTTTATAA